GTAGAAATAGATGAATGAACCATGGTTTCTTGTTGATTTTACCTTGATGATGATAAAATGAAGTTAACATCTGAGTTTGGTTAGGATTGGAATGGAATTGGATACTTATTTGGATAAAAGTATGATTTTTTCGAGTTTGAAAGTCATGTTACAGCACTGTTTTGTAAAAATCGTAGAAAAATCAGAAAAATATGAGGTCAGCGGCTTTGGAAAGATATACATCTCTACTTTAATCCATCTGTTTAAGTCAAGGTGTGATTTTGAGTTTAAGTGAGGTAAAACAGAGGTTAAAAACAGCGCTGCAGCTTATAATTAAAGTTAGCTTATGACATGATTAAGTTGATAAAATGTGTTTGGTTGTACCAATGCTTACGAAATTTGATATATRAAHTCCAGGGGATAATTTAAGCTTGTTTGAGTCCTTTGGAGGGTATCTTATAGTTGGATTGCAAGGTTGGTCATTTGTCGTTCGGTTTGACCGTATTTGACATTCGGTCGTGAGGTGAGTTAAATAGCTATTCAAATATTATTGTATTAAGTGTATATTTATGTGTCATCTATATGTATGTGATTTCTATGACTTTAGAGTCGGTTTTTTATTGGTCTTTTGTCTTTGTACGTATTGATCTCTCGATTACGAATTCTTCCGAAATGTCRGTCRGTTTGGATATCCATATATTCCGTCGGTATTGTTTCTTTGATTTCTTGTGAAACCGGAAGTATGGGGATTACTTTTTGTGATCCGTCTTGAAAACGGTGAATGTCAACATGCCGGTGAAGGGGGAGGAACCGGTGAGACATTTTAGTCGTTCTCGTTGTCTGTTGGCCGTACTCAGTGCCTAATGTGAGAGAGGCACGAGTACAAGGACTCGGGCATACCCAGGAGATGAAGGCGGGCTCCCTGCCAGTCCTAATCATTGTATTCCATGAACCATAGGAGCTCGAGCATACCTAGTGACGATGGGCTCCCTGCTAGTCCTATGTGTTCCATTGTTTGGTTATTCCGACATGTTTCTTTAGACCGTTTGACTAACSTATGATATTAGTCCCTTGCAAAGGAATTGACCTGGTATCATTTGATAATTACTTGTAATTTGCATTTCGAAATAAGCATGTTATGTCATGTGAATTGTTGGATTCCGGCACTTGGTCTTTGGTTATATTATGGACAACCCTTATTTCGTAAGTGTTACTCTTAATTTATTATTCATTGATATAACCATTCAATTGTTTGGTTTATGTATAGACTTGATTTCAATAGCATTTGTTTAGACTATTTATCTCACTAAGCCATGTGCTTATTCCGTTAGCTCACTTTTTTTTCAGGAAAGAAAGAAGATAAAGGCAAGAACCCGGTGTAGTTAGTTCGTGATTAGTTTGGGGATCGTTGCCAAACCTTGGTATATATATAATTATGTCTAGTTTCTATTTTGGGATGTAAATATATCCGGGTAGTTATTATGTTGTCCCGATTTTTGGTTGGTAAATATTTTAATTATAAGATTGTAAGCTTTCGTTTTGGATTTGGAAATACTTATTAAAGTATAATTAGCTTTTGGTGGTTTACTTAGGAAATGATATCTCGTATGTTATGTTTTGGTGAAATCGTAACCGAGGTGTTACAACTTCTCAGTCATGAAATTTCATTTTTCTCTCTTGTCATCTTTATAAATAAATGAATTTCAACTTAAACACTCCCTAACACAGAAAAAGATCCTACAAAATAGTAAATAAGACACGTATCTTACAAGTCTCATTCCTTTATTGTAATAGATAACAATTTTCTTTGTGTTACTTTGTCATCATCAAATAGGGGGAGATTGTTGATCAAAACTCTCTCAGTGATTTGATGATGTCCCTACATACTTAGTGAAAAATACTTGTTGTAATTTTTGTTCAGCTTCAGTGATCATCTCCAAGTCTGTTCAGTGATCGTTGAACACTTGCTATAAATGTTTCAAATAAATAAGTGTTCCCCAAATACAAAACTGACATCAAAGGAACCTTTAGTGATGTCAAAAAAGTAGCTTAAGCATGTTAGTGATTTGAAATAGAATCGATGATAACAAAATGTCTAAATTAAAGTGTGAAATCTGACCAAGACTCAACAAACACTGAAGAATCTCTGAAGACGAATCAGCGTCAACGGTCAAGTGAAACTTGGTCTACAAGATTAGTTTTTGTCTTATTCTTTATGCCCAAAAAGGACAACCTCATACCTCTCACAGAAAGGTACAGGTACGAAGTTACTTTACTGTCTCTAAACGTGCTTACCAACTTTGTGAAGGTCAACTGTTCATATGCAGCTAAAAGCCTGCATGTCTGAAGATAAAGGATAATTTCTTCTCTAGAAGTTTTCCATGTGATTTGTACCCTCTGACTTGCAATAAATGCAATGCATATAAAAAGCTCAAAAGATCTCTTTTCTTAGCAACACCTTCATCTTCTAACTATCTTCTTTATTATTCTTAATTCTATTTATGCTAAACTGTGTGTTTCTTAGATTGTTTAGATTAGGTCTTTACCTTATCTATTTCCGTAACAATATGTAAATTTTGTATTGATCTTCTTTTATCAGTAAACGGATTTAAAAAGTGAAATTTTGTGTGTTTATATTCACCCCCTTCTAGAAACTATTACCTTCAAAACTCTTGTAGATCCATTTGAGACCAATAATATACATAATACATAGACAAAAAGTAGCGACTTATTATCCATATAACCATACATACTAGCTAGTGAGCTATATAAACAAATGGCCTAGGGATTGCGGGGGGACCTATCCTTGGGATAGTGGTTGCCTGTGAAACCACAACTTTATTGTTATGTATTGTGATTTTCTCTAGCCGATTAATTAAAGGTCTAACCATATTTTTCGTTAGTGAAACCATTGAGCTAATCGGTAACCCTGAGTCTTTAGAAATGAATTTCAATTGATGTATTTTATGGTAATATTTAGGGTAACTTGTTTTTTGTTTAAATGTCAATATTTGGATTTTAAGGTTTAAAAGCCCAATTACTCCAAACTTTAGACAAAAATGGAATCGATATTTATTTGTGTTTAGGGTTTATTTGATTACTTTTAGGGGTAACTCTTTAGGGTAAATTTGTTGTACTGGCATTAACATAATAACATGTTAATTTGGGGCTAACTCTTTAGCGTAAATTTGTGTATATTTGTTTTTGGAAGGGTGTCCCATGCTATGCCTAGACTAATCCCAGTAAATTGTTACTGCAAGAAATCAGTCTTGATAAACTCAGTGGCCACAATTATTTTGTACGCCTGGAATCGGACCCTAGGCAAATAGGATATTCCACCAAATTCCCCAAGACCTCAACCACTACACCACAACCCTTGTGGTTAAATTTGTATATAATTGGTTCACGAAATGTTATTTGGTGGAATTGGAATCCATCAAAGGAATTTGATCACGCATTTGGTTGGTAAGAATTGGAATGTAATCTCTCAAAAGAATTAGAACAACCGTTTTTGTTTGGACCACCCAACGCATCGCCCAACCCACACCCTACCAATCACTATGTCATTACTATCATCGTCACAACTACCACCTCTCCCTGCCCTGTTTACCCACCCACCTTTGCCCCGCCTCATCCATCCACACCCGCACACCTTACCCAAACCCTGCTGCCACCACCCTCGCCCATCCTACCCAAACCCTGCCCCACCACGCTTGCCCCCACCCTGCTCGATGAGTGGGTGTGGATGGGGTGGGGCAAGGTGGTAGTTGTGATGATGCCAATGGTGAGATGGTGGTTAGCTTAGGGGTGGGGTGGGGTGGGGTGGGGTAGGGGTGCATAGTGGGGTGGGTGGCGGAGTGGTAGCTATGACGACGATAGTGGTGAGATGGTGATCAGATAGTTGGGAGTAGGTGCATATGACAGCGATAGTAGTGACATGGTGGTTAGTAGTGGGTTGGGATAGGGTGGAGTGGGGTGAGTAGCGGTTGGTGATAAGGATAATAATGGTGTGATGATGGTGAAGGGTAGGTTAGGGGCAGGGGTGGGATTGAATTTTGGTCAATAAAATTTGTCATTCTAATTCTATCAAATTACTTTAAATTTCGAATATCAAACGGTCCCTGAGTGTTAATTTGCTTATTTTTGGGTAACTCTTTACACTTTAAGATTATTATGTTTGTAATTGGTGTTAATCTTTTGCATCTAAATCCAGTCATGTAGAATTATTAAGTGTAAGTACACCAATAATGAATTAGTTTTATAAATTTTGGAAAAAGAAACTAAGTCAATCAATTTTGAATAACTTAAATATTTAATATATATTTAATCAATTTAAATGGCCAAAAACCAGTTCTTTCAATTATTTTATAATCGATATTTATTTTATTTTGTAATTAATTTTTATTTCATTTTATACCACAATAACTATTTTAAATTTCTGAATCTGACTATGGACCAAACTAAAAAAAGCTAGAGATGGATGCAAACTTTTGAAGCGGTGAGTTTCTCACTTTACCCCTTCTAGCAACTCCTCTTGTATCTGATAACAAAATTTGACACTGGTTTTTTGTTGAAGATTTGTCAAAATAATCATTTCTTTTATACAAATTATTTTTTTAGTCATTATTTCCCATAATTTACCTAAATATCATTATAGAGTTTGTTTCAAATACAACTTGTCGTATTTGTACAACCAATGCAATTCAATAAATTGATATATTTATGGAAATGATGAAAGTTTATTTATTATGATTTGAATATTTATGAAAGATGTATATGGTTCATTAATTATGATCAATACTTTATATTAAAAAACAATCAAAACTTCTATTAAATAACATATTAATCAAATAAAATAGACGGTTGAGATTGAGTTGTATTGGTTGCACAAATGTCAAGGGTTGTATAATAACCGACCTTTATCATTATATTTATAAGTCCCCAGTTCCGCAACTTACGGAACAACTAAAAGACAAAAACAAAATTTATCCGATTTGACCTAGATCCATAATTGTGACATCCAGGTCTACAATTTGTTTTTAATTTTTTTTCTTTTAGCTAGGTCCGCATCTGACGGACATTGCGGAGGTAATGATATTTGGGTAAATCAAAGAGAAAAATGGTTAGAAGACCAATTTATGTTTGAGGAATGACGATTTTAATCAATTTTACATATTCTTTTTAGTTTAATTAGTATTTTTTTTATAATACCAAAAATTTAATTTTTTTTAAAAGACAATAGGTTTTTTGATAATTTAAGTCATGATGATATTAACTTTCCCAAACCCTGATTAAATACCATTTGGGTCAAAATGCTGCTTGTATGTTCGGACACTTCTACTCATCACGTAAGGTTTAATAGCAAATATTCAAAATCAAGAACTAAAATTATTTGAATAAAATATTTATCATTTTAAAAATTTACGATGAATTTTACAATTATCCAACTCAAAATAATTTCGGCCACCGACAATGCGAACGTTATTTTATGCTCATAAAAAGGTTCTTAACCTCACACATACACAAAGCTATCGATATATAGTAATGGATTTCTTATGACCTGACGGTGTCCGGTATCCAAACATTTTTAGTATTTCATAAGTTTATTTGCCGTATATAAATGTTATATAAACTATTATCGATATATAGTTGTTGGTTTCAATGATTTCATTTGGTGATTACACATAATATATCCAATGAAAAGTTGTAGATATTTTTCTAGAATTTGAAATACAAATTAAGGATTAGATTTTATCAGATCCGAATTCGTATAAATATGAAATCCAAAATCCATTAGGATCCGAAAATTCTCAGGGATCCGAAATGCATGTAGGATCCAAAAACATTATAATCCGAAAATGTAAAGACACAAAAAGTATTAAGGATATAAAATGTTTTATGAGATCTGAAATATTTAAAGTATCTAAGTTTTGACATATGATCCAAATTCATGAAGGATTAGATTTTATATACTAATAATTTTGCTAGGACCCGATATTTATCTTATGTTTCAAATAGAAGATCATAATAGGATTTCAGTTATAAAAACTTAGAGGTTGTTTGGTTGTTTTTTTCATTAAGTCCTGTATGGATAAAGTTGTCTGTGTGAATTAATGTGTCTGTATAGATTGAGAACGATTTTGTCTGGGAGGGTTTTTTAATCGATGGAAGGCATGTGTTTTTTAATTGGGAGGCGTAAGTTTGGAAAAAAAAAATAGCTTTCTGTATAAAGCTCTTACCTAGAAGTTTACTGAATAAGTCACTTTCTATACCATTAAGCCACTGCCAAACAGTCATGTATAATTGACCACATAAGTTGTGAGTCTCATTAAACTCATTAAGCTGCGAACAAACAAGCCCTTATTCTTATTTTTAGTATTGACCCAAGAAGAATGTCTTCAACAAATCGAATACTAGTTAA